GACCGGGGCACGAACCCGTGTCCCCTGCATCGGCAGGCGGACTCTCAACCGCTGCGCCACTGGGGAAGCCCGGCTGTCTTTTTTTTTAACCTTGTCATACATTTAGTTGATTTTGAAAAATTATGTACATGTATTATTTTGATTCAAAATATGCTTTAAGAAAAATAAAGGATGGGCTTCCCTGGTGGCACAGTGGTTGAGAATCTGCCTGCTAATGCAGGCAACACGGGTTCGAGCCCTGGTCTGGGAGGATCCCACATGCCGCGGAGCAACTAGGCCCGTGAGCCACAACTACTGAGCCTGCGCTTCTGGAGCCTGGGCTCCACAACAAGAGAGGCCACGATAGTGAGAGGCCCGCGGACCGCGATGAAGAGTGGCCCCTGCTTGCCACAACAAGAGATAGCCCTCGCACAGAAACGAAGACCCAACACAGCAAAAATTAATTAATTAATTAATAAAACTCTTCCCCCAACATCTTTAAAAAATAAAAGAAAAAATAATAATAAAGGAAATTAAAAATTGCAGAAAAACTGAGTGTCCCTAGAGTAGCATTTGTTACCTTCGTGAATTCATCACCATCCTGGGTCCAGACATCACTCAGAAAGCAGAGCTATTAGCCTTAAAAGCAGCAGCGTCTCTGCAGAACAGACACACATTAACCAGGCCCATGAGACTGATACTTCAAATCAGATGCCAATTCATTAAGTTTTAAGGGGAAGCAGGGCTTTGAAGCAGACTGGATCATCTTGTTCACTGGTGAGTGCATTCTCTCCCTGTGGGCGGATCTACATGGGGAACAGAGTGGTTTTTCAGCAGGTCGCTTGGTGATCCAGAGCACAAGTGAAGTGGGGGATGAATCGGGTGGTTTCAAAGAATGATGCTTCCATCTCCTGGACCAGCATCTTTGTCCCCAGACAGTGCTAGGATGGACAATCTGGTGAATGCCTTGACAACCCTTCTTGATCTCTGCTTTGTTGACTGTCCAGACCCCTCCTGACTGGCACCTTCTTCTCTTTAGCTGCATTAATACCTTTTTTCAGGTTACAGTCTAGACTGGGCCTGACAGTGATTCTGTCTCCAGCAGGTAGACTGGCACATCTCTACTTTATCTGTTTTTCCTCCTTTTAAAAAATTTTTATTGGAGTATAGTTGCTTTACAATGTTGTTAGTGTCTACTGTACAGCAAAGTGAAACAGCTATACGTATACATATATCCCCTCTTTTTTGGATTTCCTTCCCATTTAGGTCACCACAGAGCATTGAGTAGAGTTCCTATACAGTAGGTTCTCATTAGCTATCTATTTTATACTTAATATCAATAGTGTATATATGTCAATCCCAATCTCCCAATTCATCCACACATCTCTACTTTAAAGCTCTAATGCTTGTGTCCAAACAGGCAATGCATTTACAAAGCACCCACGCTGTGCCAGGCTCTGTTCTAAGTTCTGGAGTTACAGTGGTCAACAAGACTGACATTTGTCCTTGCCCTCATTGAGCTTACAGTTTGGTGAGGAAGACAAAGTATGCAAAGTGAAGGAGCAGTTTAACCCTCAGAAGACAACTTAATTCACTTTATTCTAGTTCTTCAGGTGAGGCCACCTCCTGGCTGTCCCCAGATATCACCTACTACAATGAACCATAGGGAGGGGCTGTTGAGTAAGGAATCTCATCTAGATAGAGAAAGAAGACCCACTTCTCAAGCATATATTCCCAGCCTCCCATGGATTCTATGCCCCAAATCTTTCCAGTAAAATGATTTTCTGCTTAAATGTATCTGTCATTTGTAACCAAGAACTAGGACTGGTACGGCAACCATTTCAGACATCTGTGGACCAGAGAACAAGTCCCCAAAAGGCAGTTCCCAACCCCTCTGCCTCAGGGCTGCAACCAAACCTGGAACCTCTCTGATCTGTACCTTCCATTCGGCACAAAGCAGGGCACACAGGCCCTCACTAAAATCTGGTTGGCTGAGTCACTCAGTAAGTTCAGCCAGAAGCTGTTCTATGTACTGAGGTTGCAAAGCTAGTAAGAGCTAGTTGCTGCCTTCAGAGGTGTGCATCTTGGAGCTAACATATGCAAAACTAAGGGTGTCATCTTCCTTCCCTTTTCTCTCAACCCATACATCAACTCACACCTGGTGTCCCACGCTCCAAACACATTGAACTGCTTGCACATCTCACATCCCTCTGCTGGGATTTCAACAGTGAGTAGTTTGGTTTCTTAGACTACAGGGGTGGGAGAGAAAGATAGCAGGTAATCAGGTTGCTGCTTGTAGACCAGACCTTGAATGCCAGTTAGAGCATTCTCGATGATGTATTGGCTGCTACCCCAAGTTACTTTCCTTGGTCTAAATAGAATGCCCCTATAGTTTAGCTTTTCCTCTTCTACTGAAGGAAGTCTGCATAGAAGAGGACACAAGGCTTATATGTCCATCATCTTGGCTAGAGATGCAGCTGCAAGCAAAGTTCCCATTTTACAGATAAGTAAACAGAGGCTTCAAAGGACTTGGCTCTACAGCTAGCAAGTAGCAAAGCAAGGGCTTGAAGGAAGTTTCCAGACTCCAAATCTCCATTCTTTCCTCTACTAGTACAGCTGCTACAGAGTGTTTTGTGTGTGGTATTAGGGAGGGGAATCTCAGCCCTGGCCTGGTCCTGGGGGAAAATTCTCCTTACCACCCATACCAGGGGCTAAATTTGTTCTACTTGCCTCTCCTGGCCTAATCCCTTCCCTAGATAGTCTATCTTCTTAAACCCTCACAACAATCCTGTGAGGTATTACCATCCCTTCATTTTACAGATGAGACCAAGGTTCAGAAAGGTTAAGTTTCAGGCTTCAAAATCCGGAATCTTCACCACCTTGCTTCGCTGAGGTTTAGGAACACCGAGCTGATAAAACGGGCCAAAAGGTGATGAAGCGGGTGCCGGGGACCAGCCCCAGTTCAGGGCTGAGGGCCACCAGGTGGCGCGGTGGAGGTGCGGCTGCCCCCAACTACCTTGTTCCCCGCGGGCCAGACGCACCAGAACCAAGAAGGGCGAGCCCGGGGAAGCAGGCTCGTGGGGCGGGGAGTAGTTCTCTTCCCCAGCCCAGAATCTGCAAGGAGCGCGGTTCTCGTTCGGTCTCTAGGGGACCACCCGGGCCTCGCTAAAGAGTCACGCCCCCACCAGGCGACCGCCGGGCTACATCAGCTCGCCGCCTGCTCTGCGCTCCCCAGTGTGCAATTCATTTCGAGGGGTACAGGGAATAGAATAGAGTCAGAGAGGGTAGCTTGGAAGGGTGGGGCTGGGACTCTACCGCCCCCACCTGTCGACCGGGAGGGGCGGGGGAGGGGCGGTGCTTGTCCCGTAGGGCCCGCCCCCGGTCCCTGAGACCCGGGCGCGCGACGAGATATAAGGCAGCCGGGAAACAATGCGCCTGCATCTCGCGCTCCCGCGCCGCTCCCGGGAGCGTCCGGGTCGCCGTGCGCGAGCGAGGGCGGGAGCGCGCGCGGGGGGGCGAGCTCCTGAGTGCGGTCCGCGCGCTCGGTGGCGCGCATGTGCATGTGTGCGGGCTGCCGAGCGCGCCCCCGCCCGGCCCGGCCGGGCCCTGGGAGCTGCGCTCCGGGCGGCGCTGGCAAAGTTTGCTTTGAACTCGCTCCCTGCACCCTAGTCCGCGCGCTGTGACCGGCTTCCCTGGGCACGCTGACCCACGGCCGGGCTGCCGGGTCGCGAGGGAAGGGCGCGAGCTCCAAGCTGAGCGATTGGAGAGGGACGAGAGCCTGGCAACCAGCTGTGCTGGGGGACGGGGGGACGCCTCCCTCCCCGGGCCTGCACCCGGGTCAGCACGTCCCCCTTCCCTCCCGCAGGGAGCGGACATGGACTTCGACTCGTACCAGCACTATTTCTACGACTATGACTGCGGGGAGGATTTCTACCGCTCCACGGCGCCCAGTGAGGACATCTGGAAGAAATTCGAGCTGGTGCCGTCGCCCCCCACGTCGCCGCCCTGGGGCTCCGGTCCCGGCGCCGGGGACCCGGCCCCCGGAATTGGTCCTCCAGAGCCGTGGCCCGGAGGGGGCGCCGGGGACGAGGCAGAATCCCGGGGTCACTCGAAAGCTTGGGGCAGGAACTACGCCTCCATCATCCGCCGTGACTGCATGTGGAGCGGCTTCTCGGCCCGGGAACGGCTGGAGAGAGCGGTGAGCGACCGGCTCGCTGCTGGCGCGCCCCGGGGGAACCCGCCCAAGGCGCCGGCCGCCCTGGACTGCGCTCCCAGCCTCGAAGCCGGCAACCCGGCGCCCGCTGCCCCCTGTCCGCTGGGCGAGCCCAAGACCCAGGCCTGCTCGGGGTCCGAGAGCCCAAGCGACTCGGGTAAGGACCGCCCTGGGCCATCAAAGAGGGGGGCACCTCATGGGTGGCCAAACCTCTGCCGCTGAGGTGAGGCAGTGGGTCTGCGCAAGCCCTTCCGCCACCTCCCCCTTCCTGTGGCTGAAGCTGCCGGTGTAGCCCCCAGCGGTGTCTGTCTGGCACGTGGGTGTGTTAGTAAACAGTTTGAAGAAGTGGCGTGGGAGCCAGCGTCCCTTTGATGATGATTGGCGCCCCAGGGGACAAGGGAGACAGGGAGACAGGCTGGGGCTTGGCGCTTAGGAGGACAATACAGGGATTGGACCGTAGGGGATTTCTGTCCTCCTAAGGCTGGAAAGGGTCCCTTAAGTGTCACTCCAGGCTTGAATTTTTTTTTTTTTTTTCCTGTCTCTTTCTCTGCGAAACTCACTCCCCTGAGGAGAGAGGAAGCTGAGGAGTCTTTGTGCAAAGCCAAAGCCTTCATCCTTTCAAAAACCTGGTCTCCTGCCTGGTTTACTTTTGAAAGACAATAATGGCTTCTCTTGCTCCGCTACCCCTTACTATGTGTGCATCCACACCATCACCCATGACACAGGTAGCGGAGGAATGACCACTCCCCATTAACAGGTGGAAACAGGCTTAGAAATAGGAAATCACCAGAAGTGAACCCCAGCTTCCTGCCATCCAGCCAGCCTCTTTTGCTCAATCCTCCATCCCAACCAGGCACTTCTCTGAGGTTTAGAGGAACTTCGTGGTAGCTTATCTGAGAAGTGGAACATCTTGCCGTTTTGCTCTGGCCTGATGTGGGAAGCTGTTCCTCTAGGTCCCACCCAATTCATTTGAGGGCTTTCAGCTGCTTCATTTGTATTCAACAAATGTTAGCTGGCCCCTACTTTGTGCTAAGCTCTGGGCTTGGTGCTGGGGTCACAGATACAGAGCTCCAGGTTCCCCTTCCCTATCCTTGAAGGCAAGTGTAAACCTCACTGAGGACAGCCTGCTGCATCCTGTGCCACCAGACTATGTTGTTCTTAGCCTAACCTCTTCTCAGAAGTGCCCATGAGAAATATTGGCGAGGGTTTTTTATAGGGTGCAAACTGAGGCTTGCATCGGGAAAATCAGGACTGAAACCTCACTGTAGCTTTTAAGAATAACTTACATGACCATTTAGAGGGAACTGGGGAATGGGTATGGAGGTTGTCATACACTTGAAGGTAAAAATAAGGATAACAAGAACAATTAAAAGTCAATTTTTTCGGTCCACTGTGTTAAGGTCATTTTTAGCCTGCTTGCTTTCTACACCAAGACCTTCTGTTTGTTTAATGGGGAACTTTGAGATCAAGAAACCAATAAAGATGTATCTCTACAAAGGCTGATGGAGTGGTAGAATGGAAAGACCATTGTTTTGGGAGTCTGTAGATCTTAGTTTGAGATCCAGAACATTACAAAGGTGATGTGTGAACTTGGCTGGACTGGGTCTCAGTTTCTCCCTTTGCACATGGAGTATGACCTGATTGTCCAGCCGAGGACACTTCCTTGTCTGAGTAGACTTAGGCACTACTCTCCGGAAAGGAGAATCGTGTGTTGTACCTTATTTCTTCCTTAGGCAGAGCCTTCCGCAGCTATGAGGTTTAACCCTGAGATATTAAAGGTTTGGGATGTGGGGAAGCCTCCTGATTCATTTTCTAACCTGCCCTTTAACCTGAACCTGTTTGCAAGCTCCTGGTTCACCCATAGGCCACATGGCCCAGAACAAAATGCAACAGATTGCAAACAATGAGGGGGGTGGGAAGAGTGACTGATGGCACAGCTCAGCCAATAGGGGCCAGGGGCTGGGTAAGACAGCCTTCAAAACACCGCTTAGCCAGCCAATCACAGGCCTTGGGGCCAGGAGGGCTGAACGGGTCAGGTTTTATTAATGGAGAAATAATGCGATTGTCCACACAATGGAAGCCTTCCTGACAAAGGGGCTCAAGCATCCTGATATGCAAAAGAGGCCGAGAACTGAGCTCTTCTGTTGTCAGGCTGAAATGCATTAAGGTGGCCTTCTATGCGGGGGCTGGAAAACGTGTGGAGCAGGAAGGTTCTCCCCAAATTGTCCCTCTCCTGGTTGGGGTAACCTAAAAGACCTTGGAGCAAGGGAATGATGGGGGCATGTCCAGGTGTTGCTAGTGTTTTGGCCCTTGTGTCAGAACATTCCCATGCTGCTCAGTTCCTGCCCTGGCATAGGTCGCTTGGAAATGGTCGCTTGTACCTTTGTGAAGTTCCTGCAGCTTTTGCAGACCTGTGATTACAAATCCAACCCTCTTCTGGTCAGGGAAGGGGGTGGGGCAGGCAACCTATAAATGATGGATGACTCTAGAAACCCATTGAACCCAGGAGCAAAATGCTGCTAAGGCAAACCCTTTCCCTCCCCTCTGGGTGAGGAGGGATGGGTTGTAGCCCTCCCTTCTCCGACTCTTCAGCTGAAAGGGGCGGCAGAATAGAGAGGTGGGGGAATAATAGGATTTATAACTTGTGAAAAGTAACAATTCCCAAGTGCAGGCTGTGCTGGGCTGGAACAAAGGGCAGCTCTGCCCACAGACCCCTCATTTACAATTCTGATGGGGCATGAAAGAGCCCGACTGGGGAAGATCTTTAGAGCTAAACTTTGTCCCAGGCTGATAGCTCTTTTTCTCCATCCCCTCAGTGGGGGAGGGGAGAGCCTGTGCAGACTGGGGGCTGTTGGCTTGGGTCTGCCTTTTGTTCTTATCTAAGCCTTGCTGTGCAAAGAGAAATTGGAGAATATTTTCCTTCTTGCTTATGTCACCTCCTTTCCTTCACACTGCCCTTAGCCTCGTTACAGATGAATCAGCTGTCTTTCTCCTCCCTTGAATTTGTTTATATCTACATTGGGAAAATGTCACCTCCTTTCCCAAACTCCAATATAGGGTCTGAGTATGTGTTTCTCATGGGGTGTGTTTCTTCTGTTGATCTCTCTTCTTGGACAGAGGGTGAAGAAATCGACGTTGTGACCGTGGAGAAGAGACAGTCCCTGGGTGTCCGGAAGCCGGTCACCATCACAGTGCGAGCAGACCCTTTGGACCCCTGCATGAAACACTTCCACATCTCCATCCATCAACAACAGCACAACTATGCCGCTCGTTTTCCTCCAGAAAGCTGCTCCCAAGGAGAGGTTCCAGGGCGAGGGCCCCAAGAAGAGGGTCTGGAGAGAGATGTACCAGAGGAAAAGGAAGATGAGGCAGATGAAGAAATTGTGAGCCCCCCACCTGTAGAAAGAGAGCCTCCCCAGTCCTGCCACCCCAAACCTGTCAGTTCTGACACTGAGGACGTGACCAAGAGGAAGAACCACAACTTCCTGGAGCGCAAAAGACGGAATGACCTCCGTTCCAGGTTCTTGGCCCTGAGGGACCAGGTGCCCACCCTGGCCAGCTGCTCCAAGGCCCCCAAAGTAGTGATCCTGAGCAAGGCCTTGGAATACTTGCAAGCCCTAGTGGGGGCTGAGAAGAGGATGGCTACAGAGAAAAGGCAGCTCCGGTGTCGGCAGCAGCAACTGCAGAAAAGAATTGCATACCTCAGTGGCTACTAACTGATCAAAAAGCCTGACTGCTCTGTCTTAACAAAGACCCGAATTTATTTTTTAACCTCTCCTATCCCCCATAGGAATTTGCACATTTTGGTTCCAGCGGGATAGCCTGGACAGTAGATCCCAGAACGCATTGCAGCCGGAGCACACACAAGAAGGGCTTGCATTCTTGGAAACCTTGCAGCCCAACTCTCCCTCTGCCCTGACTCATGGGAGCGCTGTGGCTTCTCTGACGCCTTTGGCTTCTCAGGCGGACAGCTGACTGAGGAGCCTTGGGGTCTGCCTAGCTCACTAGCTCCGAAGAAAAGCCCGACAGATGCTATGCAACAGGTGGTGGACGTTGTCGGGGGGGCTCCAGCCTGCATGAAATCTCACACTCCCGATGAGCTTTAGGCTGGGAAAGGATGCTCCCACTGGTGTCTCTGGGGTGACGCTGGGACAGCTGGGCCTGGACATTCTCCCTGAGGCTCCTTTTTCCAGGAGACATACAAGCTGTCTTGGGTGAAGACGAGCTCGCAGACTTAATCAGCAGGGACCATTACCTCACTGTCAGACACTTTACAGTAGCTGAGGAGTTGGACACCTTTAAAATATATATTCTGATGTTAAATGACACCCCTCCTCCCACCACTCTCCAGGCTGCGACCTTGAGAACATTTAAAGAACTTGGCCTCTAGATTCTTTGTCTAAAAGCCTCCTGGGTCCTTTCCTCTGAGGGCAGAGACCATTCAGTCCTCACCAGGGAATTTTTTGTTTCCTTCTGCCTTTGTTATGCAATGGGCTCTAAGGCACCCCCTTTCCCACAGGTCAGAAATATTTCCCCCCGGGACACAGGGCAAAGTGTCCCACACTGGGGCCTGGGGAAGTCTTGGAGTCCTGGCTGTAAACCTGTTCCCTGCCCAGGTGTTTTCCATCTTAGAATTTTCTCAAAGCAGATGTCAGGCACCTGAGGAGGGAGAACTGTACCACTTGCTCTTTCCCACCTCCCTCTCGTCTCAATCCCTGACTGGTAAGTTTGAAGTTCTACTAGGACCATGCAAACCTGTCCTTCTCATGCAACTCCAAGGAGCTTGCTGGCTCTGGAGCCACCCTTGGCCTTCTGCCAGCTTCACATGAGTCAGATCCTTTTCCCAGAATCTGGGCCTTACTGCAGTTCTTACTGGGAGAGCTGCTGGGATGCATCCAGTGCTCTGGAAGGCAGACTAGCTTCCTGGTGGGTTTTTAAGGAGCTTCCAGGAGCTCTGTTTAGTGGACCATGATGGATTTTACCCCAGCTGGACTGAGCCTCTCCAAGTGGATTCCAGGCGCAGCCTCCATTCTGAGAAAGGCACCCAACCCAACAGGTGTCATGTGGGCAACCCTCAGCAGCCCCTAAGCCTAGCCTGGAAGAAAGACCAGCCCCTCCAAAACTCTGCCCAGGGCAGCAGGTGCCTACTGGATGGGGGTTTGAAAGTAGGGGAAGGGAGGATGGTAGAGCGCTATACGTGGCTCTGGGAAGCCAGCTGCTCCTTCCAAACCTGTTATGCATGAGGTTCCTGAGGTTGCTTCCTGGCCTCAGAGAACCCCAGTGGAAGTTTGGGAAAAGCCTCCCTACCTTCTGGAGCATGGTTTTTGGGAGCCAACTGCCTTCTGGAACTGTCTTTGGAGAACAGTTGAGATGTAGGTTACTGATGTCTCACCTGAATAGCTTGTGTTTGATGAGCTGCTGTTGGGTATTATGCCGGGAGCAGTCTTCTTTTTTTTAATACTGTATTTTTGTATGCCTTTTGCAAAGTGGTGTTAATTGTTTTTGTACAAGAAAAAAAGCTCTGGGGCAATTCTCCTGTTGCAAGAGTCTGATTTATTTTAAAAGGCAGGTTTACCTGAAATTTTGTATTTAGTTGTGATTTACTGATTGCCTGATTTTAAAATGTTGCCTTCTGGAACATCTTCTAATAAAAGATTTCTCAAACATGTCAGAGTCGGGGCAGAGCTTATGCCCACCGTATCCCCCAGAACCAAGGAAAATTGTTTCAGGGTAGCCACGAGTGATCTCTAACCATGTTGCTAACCTGGTCACTCCACTTTGGGTTCCTGAAATGCCATTTCAGACATGTCTAAACAATGTAGGTTCAGTACTCGGTAAGCACTCTTGTGAATTGCAGAGTGCTGAATTTGTATTTTAGAAGGCTTGAAATCCTAGGGTTCCACCATTTACTCGTCCTGTGCTTTTAGCTTTACCTAAAAGCTAAAAGCCCTAGTTTCCTTACTTGTAAAGTGGGGATAAATGCTGCTTCACAAGGGGTTGGCAGGCATTAAATGAAGGATAAACTTTTTTTTTTTCTTTTTTCTTGTTTTTGGCCACATGGCTTGTGGGATCTTAGTTCCCCGACCAGGGATAGAACCCAGGCCCTTAGCAGTGAGTGTGCAGAGTCTTAACCACTGGACCATCAGGGAATTCCCAAAGTATAGACTTTAAACCACTTTCTAAACTACAAACCCTTAAATCCTTTAGAGTGGTACTGTTCTTACCTTAGTGGTATTTGCAGGACGTCTTTTTAATGCCTTTTTTTTTTTTTTTTTTGCCATGCCCCACGGCTTGCAGGATCTTAATTCCCTGACCCGGGATCAAACCTGTGGTCCCTGCAATGGAAGCGCAAAGTCCTAACCACTGGACCACCAGGGAAGTTGCTTGCAGGATGTCTTTTTTAAAATTCTATGAGGGGGCTTCCCTGGTGGCGCAGTGGTTGAGAGTCCACCTGCCGATGCAGAGGACACGAGTTCGTGCCCTGGTCCGGGAAGATCCCACATGCCGCGGAGCAGCTGGGCCCGTGAGCCGTGGCCACTGAGCCTGCGCGTCCGGAGCCTGTGCTCCGCAACAGGAGAGGCCACAACAGTGAGAGGCCCGCATACTGCAAAAAAAAAAAAAAAAAAAAAAAAAAAAAAAGATTATTAAAAATTCTATGAGAATTGGTGGTGTGATGTGATTTTTTTTCTTTCTCCCTTGATTAATAAAGGAAAATGAAGGCTCCCTTTACCTCCCATAGTTCTCAGAAACTTGCCGTAAATGCAAGAGGGGAGAATTTATTAATAGCCATTCCTGATGGAGCACTGCCTATGTCTAAGCACCCTGCTCCTTCCTACACATTATACCACACCAACCACATGCCAAGGCCTACAGAAGAGGGAACTGAGGTTCTAAGAGTGAAACATAACTGCCCAGTATTACACAGCTAGTAAGTAAATGAGTTCAAGGGATTTGAAACCAGCTCTGCCTATCTGCAGAGCCAGAGATGTGAACCACTGCATAATAATGATCAGCTTGTTTTGTTAGCATGGGGTGTGTGGAGGAAGTAGACAGGGAATTTCATCACTTAACTGCTTGCTGGAATTGTCTCTCCTTGGGGCCACCGTGCCTGCCACTTATTGGGATGAAGTGGAGCAAATGTTCCATGACCAGCCACTCTGCTGCATTTGTGGGCTGGGTAGATTCGTCTTGCCCCAGAGAGGCGCCTTCTGGGACTGTGAAAGGAAAACAGTTGCTGTTCAGAGAGGCATGAGCATCATGGTGGGAGAAGGCCACTTTGTCTCATGTAATCCTGCTTTACAGCTGAGACCTGGGTCGGTATTGCCCACCTGCACTCCTGCGAAGCCTGAGTTGAGTCCAAAAGCTACTATTGATGTAAATTCCTCACATTTACAAAGTGACCCTCATCACAACCTGGTAAATAAGCAATATCTGCCACTTGGTACTGGCGACCAGACAGTTGGTTTTTTGTTTTTGTTTTTTTTTGGCTGCACTGTGCGGGCTTTTGGGATCTTAGTTGCCCGACCAAGGATTGAACCCACATCCCCTGCAGTGGAAGTGCAGAGTCCTAACCACTGGACCACCAGGGAATTCCCCCAGACAGGTTTCTTGCTCAAGGTCACAGAACAGAATCCTAATCCCAAACCCAGTCTCCTGTCAGGTAAACTTCCCACTCCACCCCCACTGCCCCTATGTCCCCAAACCCAGGGCATAAATAGCTGTTTGATAAAAACAGACTTGTGTTACTGGGATTCTTTTCTTATAACTCCATTCCCAGGACTTCCCTGGTGGCGCAGTGGTTAAGAATCTGCCTGCCAATGCAGGAGACACGGGTTTGAGCCCTAGCCCGGGAAGATCCCACATGCCGCGGAGCAACTAAGCCCGTGCGCCACAACTACTGAGCCTGCGCTCTAGAGCCCGCGAGCCACAACTACTGAAGCCCACGCACCTAGAGCCCGTGCTCTGCAACCTGAGAAGCCACCGCAATGAGAAGCCCGCGCACTGCAACGAAGAGTAGCCCCCGCTTGCCGCAACTAGAGAAAGCCTGTGCGCAGCAACAAAGACCCAGTGCAGCCAAAAATAAATAATAAATAAATTGAAAAAAAAACAAACTCCATTTCCCTCTTTTAGTTATAGTCACTCTGTTCCCAGTGCATTCATCCTTCCACTTGTCAAGAAACTAGTTTGTAGGGCTTCTCTCGCTTTACTAGACCTTAACAGAATCCATGAGTCCTCAATAAAATCTTAGGGACTCCTAGGTACAGGCCCTAACGCTGATGTTGTTTTCCATACCTAATTCTCACAATAACCTGGAGATCAGGGTGGTGTCAGCCCCATTTCACAGGTGAGCAAACAAGCTCAGAGACATTTAAGTCATGTGTCTGAGCCCAGGCAGCTAGTACCAACTGTCTGCCTCTAAGCTTCAGCTCCTTTGAGTCTGACTGTTGAGAAAGAAGCGGGAATAAAGCCATCTCCTGGGGGGAAGGGAGGGTGTTTCTGGTATGTGAAGTATTTTAAGCTCCTTCCTAGCTCAATTCTGCAGGCTCCTACCTCTATCTTTGTCTGAAAATAGCCATGAGATTATTCCTGGATTTCGGAGAACAATTTCTACAAATTAGGTTTTCCTCTGAATAGTACACCTAAGGGACTAAGTACACAACTCGGGGTTGTGGACGTAGACAATAAAGGACAGCTGAGAAGCCACACATGGAGTGGAAAAGAAAGGCCATCCTCTCTGTTAGACAATCAAAGGCTAAACCAAGTGCTTAACTCCTGCCCCTATTGGCAGCTATTTTGGGGAACTGAGACGGGTTGAACTATCTCAAAAGTGTCGAATTTGTCTTAAGTGCCCCCTGGGGTCAGGATATTTCAGAATATGCACATTAGAAGGAGAAGGGGATGATGGGGATGGCTTTGTTGATCTGGAAGGTGATAGGGAGTGTGAAAGAGGATTCTAAGGATAAGATAACCAGTTGGGAGGTGACTGATGACTGGGTGACTGGGGAAGGTAAAGGGGAGGTCTGTAAATGTGTCAGCTAAGGTTCCGTTTGGGTGTGGGCATTTCTACTTTAAGCCCAGTGGACAGCTCTTCTTAATGTCTTTATTTAGAACTGCTGCCAAAGGGATCAACTGTGTTAAGATTACCATTCTTTTGGTGAGCAAATCTAAATATGTTCTTAAAGTCTCTAA